TGAACAAAAATGAGCAGAAAATAATAAAATAAATCATTAAAAGACATTAAAGTAAGCAGTCTGAATCTAAAGATAGTATAAGCTCATGTTTCTGGCTGATAGGCCAATTTCCAGGGGATATCTGTGATGTTAACCAGAGACACCTTCATTAGATATCCATAGTTTTCCAATTATCAGCATTAGTATTTCAACATTTATCACTCGCTCTCTTTGTTTCTCTTTGTCTCTGTTTGTTTTCATGTTGGTCAGTGTTTTTATCATCCACTTCAGCCTCATCTTCTTCTTTTCTCTCACTGATTGCAAAAGCCATAAACCTACAATAAGCATTGCCTGTGGGAAAACTCTAAGTGCCCCCTGTTTCTCTCCTTTGCTCATACGTTCACTGCATTGTGTATTCCCACTTGCCGGCTCACTCCATCATAAATGCTTTTTAAACCACTTGACTGGAAAATTGACTTGGCATGTCAATTCGGCTGAACGGCCCAAGTCAGAGCTTTTTGTTTGTCTGAATCTGTAGATGCTTTTGTTGTTGGCTCTGTTTCTGTCAAAGTCTCATGTGTACTTCTTCTCCTGCCGAGAATGAACTTCTTAATTTATTTCACCGCTCTTCAACCGGGCGTATCGAATAAGAACAAGGTCACCGAATACTTTAAACATCATTGGTTTTCCTCTGGCATTTTAAGTTTGTTTTTACACAGCGAAGTCACTGTATTCAGTGAAAATGCACAGCTATAATTTACTGCACTTTACCTGCACTGGTTTGAGGAAGCAGTCGAAACATTTACAGCATTCAGCTTTCCTTTTCGTTTATTTGATATCACATTTAACATTTGGCTTCATCATAATGTATTCTTTCCGTTGTCTTTCATTTTCCATCAGGTGCCTGAGACTTTCCTGGATAAGTCTGTCTGAGTCTGACTGACCTGATCCCACAAGAAGAGGACATCTCTACTGAGCCATCAGCAGACCCTCAACACTACACTGATGAATGTTTGTCGGCAGCTACCACTACGCCATCACTCGGATCACTTATCAGTTGGAAGTTTTAAGCAAACGTTGGACTAATAGGTTGTTGCTTGACGAACTGGACTGGCTTTTCACATCGGGATATCACACGGGTGCAGCAACAACTTGACTCTGGGATAGTGTCTAACTCAACATATGATCACATGCCCATATCAGCAAAGATTTATCTGCAATCGAGGCCTTATGTCTTAGATTACACTGAACTTATTTGCTGTATCTACAGTTATGTCTGTCAGAGAATAGGTTCCTGGATCGTCTCACTCAGGGATTGAGGCTGATTAAAACATTTCAGTACTTTTGTCATGCAGGGAATCTGGGTCCGCACCAGAAACAAGCTGGCATCTCAGACTTCAGGTGTAGCTGACTGTGTAGCCTCCCTGCCCTCATCGATGACCCCATGACCCCTGCAGAAGCCAGATAGTCCGGTATCAGCTAACCACATGTCCTTATCAGAAATTTAATAGCAGCCGTCAGGATGAGCGCATGTCCGTAGCCACGCAACGCCAGCATTGTCGAGGCTGGCGGACATCTTCCTCGGCCATGACCCGGCTGATGTTGGGCCGGACTCTGGAGCGCATCTGTAAAGGCGTCCTGCTGCTCTGCCTGCTCCACTTCCTCATCATGATGATCCTGTACTTCGACGTTTACACACAGCGCTTCGACCTCTTCAGCCGCTTCAACAACGGCCGCAACGGATCCAGGAATAACGCCAGCGGAGCAGCAGGGAACGGACACCATTATTACTATTACAACCTTTCCAGGCCCAACGCGACGCTAGCCAGCTACCTGGCCACAGGGGAGCAGCTGGTGCCGAGTGCGCAGCCTGAGACCAATCAGACACCTTCTCCAAAACCGCTGCCGCCGTGCCCCGAGAACCCGCCCGGCCTCGGTGAGTAGTAATACCAAAGGGTCCATTTTCACCCCTGTTTCCTGCTACATCAAAATAATCCAGTGGATTCGATTTTTTGTTTTTGCACAATGTGTGAAATGTCTACAATTGGAAAATCAACACAACACAACAGGGTTATTTTCAGTCAAAAAGTAATGGAGATGACAGCTACATAAGCTTTCTTGAGTCACAACAGTCCCGTAAACTATAAACTAGGGCTGGGCAATAAATCGATTTTATCGATTAATTCAAATTTGTAGTTTAGGCCGATTTGTTTTAATGACAATTGAGTTTCTATTTAAAATCCGCCACCGCCGCTCCGCGCTGGGCTCCCATAGTTCAGAGTGGGCTCACCCCCCCCCCGCGCTTGATACACAAACAACATGGCAGCGAGCGCTGAAGAACTCGTTCTCAAGAAAGGGAACGAGTTCTTCAGTGCTTTTGTGTGCACACCTGTGTCTGTGTATGTGTCTGTGTGCTCACCTGTGTGTGTGTGTGTGTGTGCGTGTGCGCATCAGGGCCGAACTCCGCCGTGCGCAACACAGAGAGCAGAGGAGGATTTTAGACGCGCACCGTGTAGGGACAGAAATGACATGCCGTTGTGTAAATAAGATAATAAGTGTTACCAACGCCAAGCTGGCAGACCCCCGAACCGTAGTAAAGGGACCTCTGAAGACCATTAGCTCCTTTAGCTAGCAACACATAAACAACGGGACCTCGTCTGCGTTAAAGAACAGCACTTTATTTTCAGCACTGCAGGGATGATGCACAGCCTCTGTCATCAGTGTCTGACTTTTACATAGAGGGAAATAACTCAAAAACAGCATGCAGAACTGCGTAGGCTTCTTCACTGTGGCTGCTTGATGTAAACAACATAGCACATGCCTCACTTTCTTCCTGGGGCGCATCCGTCTGACGTCACACACCACACCCGGCGCACTAACGTCACACACACACACACACACACCCACACACACACACACACACACACACGCAAGCCACACACATCAGGCTCAGCCTGTAACATAAGGCTATTTAGTTTGTTTAATAAAAGGACAAGGTAGAGACCTGTTCTATAGGAAAGGTAACCTTAAATGACTTCTGTTGTGATCCAATATGATGGTAGGGGAAACGCTGCCGTATGATAAGAAGGGGGTCTGGTGGAAAGCGATCACAGATGCAGTCGCCATGTATATTTCAAGAGATATGGTGCCCATATATAAGCTACCGTGGAAAAGTCAGGGTTTATTCACATGCTGAAAGTTTTGGACCCCAGGTATGTGCTACCAGGCCGCAATTTATTTATTTTTTTAACTAGGAGGGGAAAAAATTGATTTAAATCGTGAATTGAATTTTTTGTGAAAAACTCAGAGATTTTTTTTTAGGCCATATCGCCCAGCCCTACTGTAAACTGTGCCATTGGACAGTCTGAACCGCAATGCATTTTGGGGTGGTTGAGTATTTCCAATAAGGTCACATCTCATACATGGAAATTCTTGCTTATCTGGTATACATCCAAGTATTTCTCGCAAACACAAAATTTCCAAACTTCTTTAGTTCTAGTCTTACTTAGTGTGAATAGTATGTTCATAGGCAATTTTGAACACAGCCCATATGTGCACTTGCCACAGTTTACCAAACTGTCGTGACTCCAGGTGTCTCCCAATTTAATGTGTGGGTAGCTGTCTCCGGCTATCTCATTTCAAATTTAAGGATTGCATCTGATATACTCTTTTTCGTGTCATGTTTGTCGACAAGGCCTCCTCTCTGGTTATGAGTTGATGGAGCAGTGTGTCAAACTTACTTTATCCAGTCTGTCCCTGCCGTGTAACGATAGCTAGCCAGCAGACTGCAGATATCATGCCGGTGTCTCGCCGAAACAAAAATGTCAGGTGCAGATGTGAAGCAGACGTTAGCAGACTCCTCTGCTGTTTCTGTGCTGAAACGGATCATTAAGGTGACACTGATGGTCCACAGCTGTATGGGATAACATGTTTTTTTGTGCTCATGACAGCCTTGCAGGTGTGGCAGGTCTTTATATTATTCTTGCTTAACAGTCTTTGTCCTTGTGTCTGGTGCTTTGAGTACAATAAGTTCAGGCTCTTGTGTCATTTTAAACAAACACCACAGTCATCTGCTGCTATTCTAAACTCATATTATAGCTCATTATAGTTTATATACTCATATATAAGATTTGATCTGCATGAGTGATCTTGAAATGTGATTTTTTTTCAGTTTAATCTATACTTTTCTTGCCTAATCTCCTCTTCAGATAACATATTTGTTTGATTTGTTTATCCAGCCTGTTTGTTGTATTTGTTGTTGGGGCCGGTACACACTGTACGCCCGATAACGGAGGATTTGCACTTCATTGATCAGTGTAATGAATAGGGGAGATGAGACCTTGATCTGAGCTCCAAGCTAGAGAGCACTATTTTATATTTGGTAAATAAATGCATCTCCGGTCTTATTCCAATTAGCAGGAGAGCGATTGTAGCCGTAATTTTGTTTTTCCGGGTCAGTCCGCAACATAAAATGGATTTAATGTCAACGATTTACACTGTGGTATTTCAACCTTATAGACTCACAGCGGGGCTATTAGCAGAGATTCATGCAGCGAGACGTGAAAGCACAGCAGCAGCAGCAGCACATGTACACAGCAGAGCTTTGAGAATCTTTCTTTTGTGCTTTCGTTTTCTTAAAAGAACACACAAGTTAGAATGAATTAATGAAGATGCTCAGAGCTGCAGCTGGTTGCAGGCGTCTTGTCAAGAAACTGTAGATGTTTTTTAAAGTTAGTTTAGTTGTAACAATTCTGAAGTTCTGCAGTTGTGAAACTTAAACTAAAATTATAGATACATTCACACACATCGGATAATCATCCTCATATATACAGATAGAAATTCATACATCATGCAGATGTAGAGTCTGGACACATGATCACATATTAAAGCAATGACTCATAAACGGGTGGGGCTGCCCCCTGATTTGAATCATCAGTCGGAGACCCCTCAGTCAACTGAGATTGACATTTTGGTCCCCAGATTTGCTGCCGAGTGAGCGCTCTTCACTTTCACACTGCTCTTTGGTACTGGCAGCTGTCCAGGGGAGGAGAGGCTTTGCCCCGTAAGACTATGAAATAGCGTTATCCTCCGCCTTCTGCTTAGAATTGTTCACAACAGCCCAAAGCAACTTAATACGTTACAGTCTCTGGCTTTTGTTTGATATCTAGTGTCTGCAAAAATTATTGGTGCGCATTTCTTAGTGCAGTTAGCTTGTTTACTATATAACGTGAGTGTTACTGTCCTGCTGAACACCACTCAAACTCTCAAACCGGCAACAAAGGGACGAATATTCACATTGAACAGCCGAATCTGATTCGACTCATTTTTCAGGCCTACAAACTGGTTGTACAGATTTTGGGATTACAATATGTAATATGAATTCACAGTTCCCCTGCACACTGGCATGCACACCTACCACCTACACCCCCCCCCCCCCCCCCCCCCCCCCCCCCCCCCCCCCCCCCCCCACACACACACACACAAACACACAAACAAACACACACACTTCATTATCATCACTATCCATCCACCCAACAAATCAGAGGTTGATTGAGTCACACTAAGCCTCTGGTTTACCAAATCTATAATTACATAGTGGACACACACACACACACACTCCACAGTTCTCAGATAATAGAGCTCAGAAGGGAACTAACAGCTCCTTTTTTCCACATAAGTCAGAGAGGCCTTGACCTGCATCATTATCCCGAGATGATCCTGATACCAGTGGGGTCAAAAACAAGACAAAACAAAACAAACCCTGCCAGATTATTTGGCCTAGACAGAATAGTTTGACAGATTAGGAAATACACTAAAATCACCTGTTTTTTTTCCCGAGAGCTGGATGAGAAGATGAGTAACATTATCCACTATCTGCCTGCTCATTATGAAGCTACAGCCAGAAGCCAGTTAGCTTAGCTTAGCTGTAAGTGCTTCTTACACTTTGGTTGTTCAGATTAAACAAACAAGATATTATATGTTAATTAGGGAGTTTAACAAGTGCTGCTAGGTGGAATTTGTTGGCTTTGGTTAAAGCACAGACCAGCTGTTTCCCACTGTTTCCAGTCTTTATGCCAAGCTGCTGACTGTTGCTTCATATTTACTGTACGGATATGAGAGTAGGGCTGGGCAATATATATTGATATTATATCTATATCATGACATGAGACTAGATATCGTCTTAGATTTTGGATTTTGTACTATCATTAAGTGTTGTCTTTTCCTGGTTTTAAAGGCTGCATTACAGCAACGTGATGTTTTTTTCTGAACCTCCCTTGCCTTCACGCACTTAGTCATTACATCCACATTAGTGATGATTATTTATCAGAAATCTTATTGTGTAAATAAAATATTTTTTGAAAGCACCAATAGTCAGCCCTACAGTATTGTCGTGATATCAATATTGAGTAGGGGTGGGAATCACCAGAGGATCCACGATATGATATTATCACGATACTTAAGTCATGATACAATATTATTGTGATTTTAAATATGTTGCGATAAAGTATATTGCGATATATTGGGACTGATTACCTTTTTTCAACTGTGAATTATGCCCCAAGGGAAAACTTTGACAACATCTGTTTTATTTAATGAGATAAAGTTTTCAGTCTGTTCATCTCACTTTAGCCTTTTTTTTTCAGCAGCAAAATGTGTTTTAGTTGACTGAAAAAGCAATTAATTATACTATTTATTTTTTATTTATTATTTTATTATAATTTATCTATAATTTATTTCAATTATTATTTATTATTTAATAAAGTTTAATTTGTATTTGTCATATTAATAATTTACGTAATTAAAAAATCGATACTTGGCACTGTGTGACGATACAATATTGCCACACAAAAATATTGTGATACTTTGCTGTATCGATTTATTATTTATTTTTTATTTTTTATTAATATTATGAAATTAGATTTTTAACATATCGCC